TCTCTCTCTCTCTCTCTCCCTCTCCTCTCTCACTCTCTCTTTAAAAAAAAAAAGATACTAAAAGTAGATTTCACATAGAGAGAAAATAATTTCAGGTTCAAACATGTAGGAAAAAATGAAAAACAAGAAATAGTGTAAATATAAATGAGTACTGTCCATACAAAATAGTAATGCCTTCTAAAAATTAAAATGCATGTGTAGTTTTTAAAACTGACAATGTTGCCTACAGATCAGGAAGTCAGTTAGTGGGGTTAATTGTTCTAAGGTTCTTGCCTGGAAGTCCTAACAGTTATGATTAAATTTTAATAAGTCAAAGAAACAGTGGCTGGTAAAGAAATGTATAATTACTTAATAGAGGGGGAAATGGGGCAATAATGTGAAAAATCTTAATCCTAAAAAAGGCAAAAGAAAAACAAAACAAAAACAAACAAACCAGAACAGGTGGCATGTAGGAAACAGAATGTAGGCTGGGATTTAGCTTAGTTGGTAGGAAATCTACCTAGCATGTTTAAGGCCAGGGTTTAATCTCTAGCAAGCACATTAAAAAAAGAAGAAGAAAAGAAAACAACAGTAAAAATGTGTTGACATATTTAAACCAGATTTTTTAGTGATTACCTTAAGTATAAATGGTTTAATATTCCAAATACAAAATTTATGGGATTAAAATATATTACTTATAAACAAAAATGAATATATTTATTTGTGAAGCATACAGAATATTGATCCAGGAAAATTGAATATGAAATAGTATGAAGCTAACCAAAAGAAAATGCAAATTTACACCGATATTGGACAAAGTAGTTGGTTGTTTTTTTTTGTTGTTGTTGTTGCTGTTTGTTTGTTTTTGACAGAGTAGAATTTAAGGAAAGAAGCATTATAGGTAATGAAGCATGTTTCAAACTGTCTTAAATTTACCAAGAAGATAAAATACCTCTGTACGTTAATAAATAACTAACATATACGTTTTGAAATTTACATATAAAGCAAATTGACAAAGCTAAAAGAGAACTCACAATCATAGACATTTTAACTCACCCCCCTTTGTAACTATTAGAATTGCCCAAAAGAAGAAGTCAGAAATTGTAAGAACTGAACGGCACATAAACAAATTTAACTCTTTGTGTGTGTGTTAGTGTGTTACCCAGCAACTTAGGAATATACTTTTGTTTTCCAAATGTACATGGCATACTTATCAAGAGTGACAGTAAAGCTCTGTCAAAAAGCAAATCTAAAAAGCTTTCAAAAAATGTTGAAATTGGTGGTAAGGTGGCACGTGTCTATAATCCCAATGGCATGGGAGGCTGAGGCAGGAGGACTGAGAGTTTAAAGCTAGCATCTAAACAACTTAGTGAGGCCCTAAGCAACCTAGCGAGACCCTGACTCTAAATAAAACATAAAAAGAGCAGGGGTGTGGCTCAGTGGTTAAGCACCCCTGGGTTCAATCCCTGGTAAAAAGTTGAAATTATAAAACATGTTTTCCCTGGCCAAAGAAAATAACAAAAGTAAAGCTAGAAAGTTTTTACTTGAAAATTAAGCAGTACATTTTTAAATATCCCACAAATGAAAAAGAATGAAATGATGAAAATATATCTAAATTTGTCAGATGTGTGTGGCGAAAGCTGTGTAGAGAGGGATTTTGTGGCTCTAAAGTGGGTACATTAGAAAAGAAAAAGAGTTAAATATTGGTAATCTAAAAATATCCACCTTGAGAGTTTAGTTGGGGGATGGGTAGAGATTAGCAAATTAAACCCAGTAAGGCAGAAGAAGGAAATCATCAAGGGCAGAATGTAATGAAATAGAAACAAAATTGATAATCCTTCACAAGCAGTCACCAAATTAGAAATGAAATGATAACTAAATTGCTAAGTCTGTCTTTGAACTTGTGATCCTTCTGCTTCAGCCTCCTGAGCTGTTGGGATTACAAGTGTGTACCACCACACCCAGCAAGTTGTAGCATCTTCATCTATTTGACTCTTAAATACACTCTTGATTCAGTATTATAAATCCAACTCTTTAATCTGACCCTTATGCTTTTTATGTAAGCTAGTGCTATTCTTGGCTTCTTGTGTATTATAACAGTGCAAAATCCCTAGGTTTTTTGCTCGAATTGTTCGTGCAGGTGTTGATGTTTCTCAACACATTTCTTTGTGATAAATCCAAATATTCCTGGTGGTACAGGATTTAAAGTTGAGAACTATAATCTCTGTCTCTGCAAGAGTTTCTTATCTAGATTCACGTTAATACACTTGCCCTTCCCCACTCATTTTTGCAGTTTAGGCATCCACCGTGTTGGGCCGCAGTGTGTCCATGTGTGGGCATTTGGTGATGAACAAGGCTTAACAGGGACCACTGCCCGACCCTCTGGAGCTTATTTGTCTCTTTACTTGAACATCCTGTAAACAAGCTCCAGGAGAGTGGAGCCTCATCCACCTAGCTCTGTCAGAGCGAGCGCTGGGTAGTTACTGACTGAAAGCGCTTCTCCTTAGGCGTAGGTCATTTTTTTCTTACAGTGTCTGGTCTTTTTTTCAGCGCTGGAGAGGGGACTCTTGAAAACACTGCAGAAACTGGACGAGTATCTGAATTCTCCCCTCCCTGATGAGATTGACGAGAACAGCATGGAGGACATTAAGTTTTCTACGCGTAAATTCCTGGATGGCAATGAAATGACACTGGCTGATTGCAACCTGCTGCCCAAACTGCACATCGTCAAGGTGGGCCTGTTGGGGGTGTGTCGCCGCCCTTAGGCCCAACGGTCAGGTTTACCTGGCTAGCACTTCCTTTATGCTAAAGCTTTTCTGGTGGTCTTCCATACGAGTAGGAAGTCCCCAAATAGTGTCACTCAGTGCGGCTTAGGCATAGCTGAAACACTCAGAGGTAATGAAATGGAAAACATGTCTTAAAATTGAGGCATTTGATAAAGAGGAATATTTTGCTTATTCTTTTCACTGAGTAAATATTCAAAAACATAATAGGTAAGTCCGACTGGAGTTTGCTACACTGGCTTCCCTTGTCAAATTCCACTCTGTGATCACCTGGCTTTTTCTATTCCAGTCAAAAAATACTGAGTGTGTCTGATGGGAGACGCTGTGCTAGACAGAACAGTGAGGAGCGTTGGTTGTGTATAAAGCTCTAAGATAGAAGAACAATTCTAAGTAGCATATGTTTTAAAAAGCATTTACCCAGTGGGTTAGACTTAGCTCTGTCTCTGGGGGCCCTAGTGCTCATTTATAGTCGCTATTACATTTCTGAGTCCCTGGTGTAGCTTGCAGTCTTAGTCATTATTTAAAAGTCTAATTAGAATGATGGTGACAGAGACTTAATAATGTGCTCTAAAATCAGACGTGTCTACTTTATGAGACATGGAAAGTGGATGTTGACTTTGAATCTCTTTGTATTTCAGGTGGTGGCCAAAAAATATCGCAACTTTGATATTCCAAAAGGAATGACTGGCATCTGGAGATACCTAACTAATGCCTATAGTCGGGATGAGTTTACCAATACCTGTCCCAGTGATAAGGAGGTTGAAATAGCTTACAGTGATGTTGCCAAAAGACTTACCAAATAAAATAGCACTTACGAGAGAGATGTCTTCAGATCTTCCCCTAAGAATACGCTTTTCCTAACAGACTGCTCATCTTCCTATAAAGTAGAAATGTGTTTTGCATGAACATGCAGTTATTCAAGATTAGGGTCAAGGATAGACAAGGTATAGTAGTTATCTTAAAGTGTACACTCCTAAGCAGTATTATTTTACAATCCTCCCACCCTGCCTGCCCTCCCTACCAGTAGTGTCCTCCTGTCCTCTAACTTGGAGACCCTCCGTCACAACCCTCCAGGTGAGAGGCAGTGTGCCATCTCTCTGGAGTCCTCACCATTCTGTGCACAGATGGCAGAACTTTTGAGGTGCAGTGTGTAACATCGGTCAGCCGCAAGCTGGTGCATAATACGTGGTACATGAAGTATTTATGTATTTTTTGGAATTTTGTAATATTTAGTAAGAGTATATGAAAGGATTACTACTGTATCAGAAATACTCTTTCAGTTGAGTCTGTCCTAGATACGTCCTGAGAGACACCACCGCCAGAGAAGAGCGCCCGCTACAGAAAGTCACTACAGATCCTGCTGTTCTTTTGTAGACAGATTTTTAGTTTTGTCTAAAATCATTTATCCTTCATACAAATTGTAACATCTGACGCTATATGGAAGGTGAAAGTTTAGAGGGAGGGATGGTATTCTCAAGATCGAAAGCATTTTGTCCTTAGAAGAGGAACAGATGGGCACCTGACACTCTAAATGTGTTGTTGGTTGTGTGTGTTTTGCCCAGTGCCATTCATTTGGAAGAGGATCACCTTCTTTATTTTAAAAAGCTCCTTTTTAGGTAACCATACGCCCTGCTGTCTGTAGATATTTTTGAGCACTACATACACTGACCTAGCTGACGTAGCTCTAGCAGTGATTAGAAATGTAAAAGTTAACGAGTACAGAAGTTAGTCTAAAGAATGTAGAGTGGGTTTGTCAACATGTCAAGTATATCTTGTTTCTAAAGCATATTTAATGTAGATTAAATCTGGAGAGTGCACTATCCATTCTGTTTTGAGACCCATAAAGCACACATTACCAACTCTCGCACCACCGTTTACTGTGGGGCTTTGCACAGAAGGTGGTTCGCTCTGTGTGGGCAGGTTGAGTGTTAGGGTGAGGGTGTGTTCACCCACTTGGCCTGATCTCAGTCTCTGTGCTTCCTTGAGTTAGATTTTTCTGCAGCTGCATTAATTGAGGAATAGCACTCTAGGTGTGGGCTTTTGACTTTGTTATTTAAATTGGAAGTCCTAAATTAGAAATTATTTGTGCTCTAACAAGAATGAACTTGGTGAAAGTGGAACAAAAGTTTGCTATGTGTTTTATTCATTTATTCAAAGCAAAACAAAACCAAGGTGGACTTTCTTAGTACTGCTCCAAAGACTGTGGCTGTGACTAATAACGTTTGTGTACCTAACTTGTTTAAGATGTGCTGTTCCATGGGCTCTTCTTTCTTTCTTTTTTATTTTTATTTTTTAATTTGCTTTAAGGATTTTAAGAATATTGCTTTAAGATGGCAATGTTTTCTCCCCTTTGATACGGTGACATTTAGTAAGCACTGGTTTTATGGAAGCAGCCTGACTTTTATAAGCACAACTGCATTCTTTAACCTGTCAGTAATCAGCTTAGTATAGGAAGATAAGAAAAGGCTCCATATTATATCCATTTGGCTCAGGGAGACTCCTTTACCTTACCTTTCGCAGTGCTCCTATTGCTGATCAAAAGTCTAAGCCCCCGTCTTGGATGATTTACCTGGTTCCAGAAAGAAGTTCTGTCCAGCTCCCATCGAGAGTCTGGGTGGCAGTGGCTTTGGTGGGTGCAGGTGTCCCATCTGCCCCAGGGCACAGCAGGCCTCAGCACCCTGCAGTCTTCACGTTTTAATCATGACAGAGTGGCCTCCGGGTGATACCGAACCACACCTATTAGCAAGCGCGAGGGAGATTTAAGAGAAGGGTGTCTGTTCCTTCAGAGAATGGTGGGCCAGGCAGGCAGAGTCGGGCGCCTAGAGGACAGCACTGCCGTCCTGAGACAGAGGTGACCACGAGCCCCTCAGAAACAGCTCCCTGTGCGCTTCTGTTCTCCCCGTTGCTTTCATTCCGCAGTGACTCCACTGGCTCTCTCCGCCTGTCCAAGGAAGGCCAGTCTTCTCTGACTTTGATGGAGGCAGAATTATATTTCTCTGTAGAAAGACTGATTTTATTTTTCTACCAAGGAAGTTAGTCAGACATGATCGAGTGGCAACTACATCACGGCTGGTAAGAGCCTGCACAGGGTTTTACTCCATCCTGTGTCTGGGGAGGGAGCCTAGCTCAGTGTGGAGAGACTTGGGACATAACAATGTTCTTGGCAATTCGTGTAGTATTTGCCTTGATGTATGGAAATCATCTGATTTTATTTCTACAGCTAAAAAGTAATTCCTCTTCATTTTGTTATACTTCTTTGAGGAGATTGCAGTCTGAATGGACAGTCTCACTATTTTCCAAGGGACACTGAGAAATTTATTAAACAGTTGGGAAGCTCTGTACTATTCCAGTTATAGACTTCCTTTTTTTTTAAAATTTAGATTTAAATTTTCAGTAAAATTCAGATAAGGTTTTATTTTTTGGTAACTTTGGCTTTCACAACTCTAACCCTTTGAACAATCTGTGTACAATTAAGAGATTTCTGATGTTTATTCTTACACTGAGTGGATCAGTTCTAGAATTTAGACATTTTTATTTCTGTTGAGTTTTGAGCCTCTCCAGAGTTGCATGCAGATAGTTTTAAAATTTCTGTGCATTAAAGAAAAACCCATTTAGAAAGTATCTACAAAGTAAAAATGAGAAGAAATAGAAATTATTTTTTCATGAACATTTTGATACACATTTCATCAAACTAATTGATTCACCAATTTCTTACACTGGTTATAATCAATATTTAATTCAAAGAGAGGGAAGCATTCATTGTTGATATTTATAGGCTTTAAAAATTCCATCCTTTACAGATTATCAAGGTTGGGGCATCCAAAATTATATTTTTATCAAGGGAGAAAAATAAAACTCCCCAAGCCATAATGTTAAACAGAATTGGAGTATTTTCTTTAGAATTTCCTGAGTAGGCAAATGAAAGCTTATTATTGAGTGCTTGTATTTTCTTTTCTCTCTCTGGAACATCAACACCAGTATATTGCTGGCAGCTATTATATTCAAAAAATAAAATATATTTTCACTATCATACAGTATTCTTGTTTTCTCCCTCATGAGAATAAATAAAAACTTGGGGTAGAAGTATTTTTGAGACTCTTTTTTTCTATGAATGTGCAATTCAGCACATTTAATAAGTTAAAGGAAAATAAAATCCATATGATCAACTCAGTAGGTGTGGAAAATAATTCGTTAAAAACTTTCATGAGGGGCTGGAGTTGTGGCTCAGCGGTAGAGCGCTCGCCTCGCATGTGAGAGGCCCTGGGTTCGATCCTCAGCACAACATAAAAATAAATAAAATAAATATATTTAAAAATGTTTTTAAAAAGCTGTCATGATACTTGATTATCAAAATAGGACCAGTATTTTAACAAGATGTCAACTCCAACCAAGAGCCTACCGCAAATGTCATGTAAAAGAAGACTTCTCATTAAAGTTAGGGATAAGAGTTGCCCCCTGTCAATTACAGCTACAGCTAAACTACATTTCATAGCTACTTCATCTAGAGACATCTTAGCCAGCACAATAAGACAGTAACAGAATAAGGAATGAGAAAGAAGTGACAAAATGACTCCTCTCTGCAGGCATATGTGTGTATGTGTAAAACCCAAAATGACCTACGGATTGTTAAGTCAGGAATACTAAGTATTCAACTGGATTTTTATATGCAATACTGAGGAGCAAAAGTCCTATTACATATAGTAATAGAGTCACTATATACTAATGTTAGCCACATTCACAGTTATAGTTGGTAACACTGATTTCTTCTGAAGGAAACCTAGATGATGGAGAAAAAACAGGATGTGTGTGCCTCTTGGAGCTTTTAGAGATTTGTGAATTTATTACTTGTTCTGAAAAACAAAGTGCTTCAAAGGATCGAAAAGACACTGAACCCTAAGCTATTTAGGATCAAATCTGACAAAGGATTTTCTTCCTTTATGGAGAAAATCACCAAATATTGAAAGGCCTAACAGAACTCTGCTCCCTGGACAGGTGTACCATGTTCATGGTTGGAGAACTCAAAAAGCATAAGAATCTCAGTTCGCTTTCCATCACGGGGACAAAATGTAATATAAACAACTCATAAATGAAATGCTTATTTTGGCGCATGATTTCATCACTTTCAGCCTGTGATTGTTGTTGCTTTGGGCCTGTGGCAGCACATGGCAAAGGAGGCCTCTTCACCTTATGGCGCCTGGTGAGCAGGGAGAGGAAGGGGCTTGGGGGCCCCAGTGTCCCCTTTAAGGGCACATGTCCTAAGGTTTCCATCACCTCCCACAGGCTTGCAACACATGGTCTTTGCAGAGACATTTCAAACCCAAACTATTTTCCAACAAAACCTCAACAATGTTTTGCCCCCAGATACCCACACGTGGGAGAGGGGTGAGAAAGGAAGCCCGTCCGATAAGATGCAAGGATTTATTAAAGAATAAATTGATGGGCAGGACGTGGGAGGCCACAGCAGCACAGTGAACCGCATCACAGCGCAGGGGGCCAGGGTTCAGACACCACAATAACACGCACCAGAACACCACCTAAACGGGAGACTCCCTGGGTCGAACGCAGAAAGGCAGGCCCTCCTCGTGGCCGGGCTGGTTTCTCCCCACTGGATTCTGGGCCCAGAACTGAGGTTTTGGCCCACCTAGAAGGGCACGTTGGAAACCCAGGACACCCGGATGTACAGCTGATTTTCTTACAGTTGTGCAGTTTTCTGTTTTTTTTTTTTTTTTTCCCTGAACTCCAGAGCTGCGCATGACAGACTAGAAGCTAAGCCGAGGGCTTCTAAAAGGCAGAGGAACATCTCCTGTAATCTCACAATATTATATTTTCATTAGGGAAAAGGACATGTCCAAAACACAACACATTTTAGTGATCTAGTGCTGGGGGCGAAAGGGAATTGGCGCAAACAGGATCTTTTGGGGATGATGGAATTGTTCTAAATAGTGTGGATTATTGATTAGGATCTCGTATCCAGAATATATGAAGAATTCTTACAACTCAAAAAGATAACCCAATTAAAAAATGGGCAAAGAATCTGAATGGACATTTCTTCAAAGAAGACACACAAATGACTCATAAAACATCTGTTCATTTTCCATGGCTGTAACAAAATACTCGAGGTTGGATATTTGGTAAAGAAAAGAAGAGATTCGCTTAGCACTCGGTTTTGGAGGTTCAGAGCCCAGCACTGACCTCAGTTTGGCTCAGGTGAGGATCTTCTGGCAGATGGTGTCACAGTAGCAGGTGTGTTTGAAGCAGAGCCATCGCCTAGCAAGACAGGAAGCCAGACAGAGGGAGGGGCCAGTCCTGCTCTTTTCCAATAACCTTATTTTAAGAACTAATGAAGGTGCCAAGAGAACATGAAGTTAATTCAATTCCTTCCAAGGGCAGTGGCTCCAATGACCTAGTGGCCTGTACTAGGCATTATCTCTTAATGGTTCCTCCATCGACCAATATCGCCAAACTGGGGACCAAGCCTCCAACCCAGGGACACACTGGAAGCTTATGCAAACCATGTCACGCACAAAGAAAAAATGTTTCCATTTTTAATCATTAGGGGAATGTAAACTAAACCCATGATGAGATCCTTCACCCCACTAGTATGGCTGGACGTGAGAAGGTGGTCACAGTGTGTTGACAAGGGTGTGGAGAAATGACAACTCACACTGCTGTTGGCAAAAGTGACACAGAGCCATTTTGGAGAACAGCTTGGGAGAGCTTCATATCTACCCAGCACGTCCATTCTGGGACTTACACCCGGAAGATTGAAACATGTCCCCATGTCACACACACGGATGCTCCTAGCAGGGTACTGAGCAAGATGGCCCAGTAATGGAAACAACCAAGGTCCATCTAATGAATGGATAAATGCAGGTGCAATAGCTGCAGGTGAACACTAGTGAATCATGAAGAGGTGTGGTGTCCACACGGCCGCAGCCTGCAGGATCCCGGAAATGCCTCGTGCTGCATGAGTTCACTTATTAAAGCATCCTCAACAGGCAAATCTCCCGAGGCCATGGGTTAATGATTGCTGGGAGCTGGAGGAGATGGGGAAAGCCTGCTACTGGGTACGGGGTTTTATTTTTTGGAGATAAAAATGTTCTGGAATTAGATGATTGTGGAGGCTGCACATTTTGTGAATATACTAAAAATGGCTGGATCGTTCAAGTTAAAAATACTAACTTTCTGATTCCTGAATTATAACAAAAGTATGGCAAGGGGACAATTGGCCTTGTTAAAATTTTGAACAATTAGTATATTGACAGGTTGAGTGGCAGTTAGTAATGTGGTTTCCTTCCTTGTATTTGAATTAAAAAGTTTGATTCAGATATCATCTAAAATATATTTTTAAGAAATAAATGAATTGTACTGATGGAGGTTCAACTCCATAAATTTATTAAAAGTCATTTAACTTTTCATCTAAAATTTAGGGTGAATTGTGAATTCTGAAGTTTGTAATAACCTCAATACATTAAAAAAAAACCTTAAAAACAATACTTAAGGAACTCACTGGAGGGCTTAACAGCAGACGTCAGGGTTAGTGCTTGAAGAATGGTCAATAGAAACCATTCCAACTAAAGCCAAGAGAATAAAAAGAATTCGAAATGCTGGGTGCAGTGGCAACACCTGTAATCCCAGAGACTCAGGAGGCTGAGGCAGGAGGATTCACAAGTTTGAGGACAGCCTCAGCAACTTATTGAGGCCCTAAGCAACTTAGTGAGGCCCTATCTCTAAATAAAATATAAAAAGTTATGGGGATGTGGCTCAGTGGTTAAGTGCACCTGGATTCAATCCCCAGTACAAAAAAAGAAAAGAAACTAAAAACAAAGAAAGCCAGAGCAGAGCCTGAGAGACACATGGGACCCAGTCTAAAAACACACACATGGAAGCCCCAGAAGGCAGAGGAGTGGCAAGAAGCCATATTTAATGAAATAATGGCTGAGAATTTTCCAAAACTGATGAAAGACACCAACCCACAAATCTTAGCACACTCCACATGGAGTCAAAACAAAAGAGACACTTAAAAAAACCAAACTGTTGAAAACCCTCAAGACAGCCGGGGGAAATGGAGTTATGTGTAAACTTTGAAGGAGCCGCAATAAAACCAGGGCCTGACTCTCCAGTGGGGACTGTGGAAACAGAAGGCAGTGGGATAAAGCTCTAAAGGGCTAAAAATCCCCCCTGCTAACCCAAGATTCCCGCCTCAGGGGAATGAATCTCAACCATGAGGGCAAAATAAATCCTTTTTAGACAAAAGCTGAAGAGAATTTGGCACCAACACACTGTGGTACCAGAAATATTAAAGGAAGTACTTCCAGACAGAAGAAAAATGCCCCAGATAGAAACGTAGAACCCAAGTAAGGACAAAAGTAGCAGGTAGGGGCTGGGCTGGGCTGGGCTGGGGCTCGGCGGTGGAGTGCTCGCCTGGCATGTGTGAGGCCCTGGGTTGATCCTGAGCACCACATATAAATAAATAAAATAAAGGTCCGTTGACAAAAAACAAAACCAAAAAAAGTAACAGGTAAATATGGAGACAGATATAAAAGAATGCTCTCTAAACAAAAGTAATAATAATGTGCTGATGACATACGCTCATCTGTTGTATGAAACACGTCTCGCTGGTGGAAGGAAGTGGAATTATGTACAACCTGTAGATGTTTACATGGGAAAGTGGTAAAAGTACTAATTTAACAAAAGTAGATTAAGTCTTGGGTAAGTAGTGTATAGTACAAATGAGGTTATTTTAAAAGTCCAAGATTCGTGGAGGACATGAAAATTTTAAGAAGTTCAATTTAAAGAAGGCGGGACAAGAGGACTAAAAGAACTAGGAGGAGAGCAAACTGGAAAGAAGCAAAAAGCTGTAAAGTCAACATCCTTAGTGATTCCATGAAGTGTCAACCAGGGCCACAAGCCAACCCCGGGAGCCTCCCCACCCCATAAAGAAAGCAGGGCCCAGTACTGTATGTGCCACATGCAAGACCCTGGCACATGGGACGTGTATTCAGCTCAAAAATGCACATTATTTTCAAATGCACATGGACCTTTTAGCAAATGGACCACCTGGTGACTTCTAATGCCAGCTTCAG